CGCGCGCTGCGGCCGGGGCGGGGGAGGGGGCCGCTTCCTGCCCCCGCCCGGGCCTGACTCAGCCTTGGGTGGGGGGACAGGCCTGGCCCCTTGCCCCGCCCGCGCGGCCGCGCGGCTCCGGCCCCCGGGGAGGGGGCGGAGAGCACCCCTCTCCCCCCGCCCGCGCCCCCAAAGCGCGTGACCCCGTCTCCTCTGGCTCAGACCCCCCCCTCCTCCTTCCCCTTGACGCCACCACCACGTGCGAACCCTGAGTCCCGGCAGAGGAGGGGGTGAGCTGGTGGGATCCGGCCCCCTCCCTCGCCCTTCCTCCCTCCCTGGCTTGGGAACCAGCCCCCTCCCCCAGTCCCGGGCCTGGAACCCGGCAGGGGCCTGAACTGAGCGCTGGGGCCGGTGCACCCCCACCCCTCTCCCCCGGGCACAGGCCTTTGCGGGTTCTGGGTGGCACTGGCCGGCTGGGGAGCCCGGTGGACCGCAGCAAGAGACTGCTGTCCAACCTGGCTGGGGCACCCAGTGGGCGCCCACTAAATGTTTGGGAAATGCAGCCAGCAGTGGAGTGAGCCGGCCGGGGAGGCAGACAACTCCTCCCCCCACCCCCCCAAGCTGGGCGGCGGAAGTGAGAGAGGTGCTGGTGCCCCTTCCCCGGGTGTGCCCACCTGGTTCACCCATGGGTGGCAGGCTTGGTTTACTACGCACCCCCTCCCCCTCCCCCTGCCAGCTGCCTCCAGGAGCAGGGCCGGCTGGAGAGGGCATCCGGGATTCCGTGTCAGCGCCCCCCCCCCTCCCCACCACCACAACACGGCCAGGGCGTAACCCTGAGTGTGCCGCTCCCACACTGGGGGGGCCCTCCGCAGGACCAGCCGATCACTTCCTATTGGCAGAGCTGGTCTTGGGAGAGGTCAGGGGAGTCCAGGCTCGGCTCCGTGCAGGGGGCATTTTCCCCTGGGGGCCACCCCCGCTGGGGCCCCTAGAGCGCACCGGGCCTGGCACTTGTCGGCTGGGCTCGGGGCTCTGTTTACCGCCAGCCATCGCTGTGGAGACGGGAGCCTAGGGGAGAAGGGGGGGCAGGAGCCGGTGACTGGAAGAGCGGAGGCCTGGGATCCGCATGCCTAATGAGGGAAAGAGGAGCCAACGGGGACACTGAAATTTTAATTCGAGGGTCACTTTGGGGGGGTATTTATTATTCAGTTCTGATTGGCTGCGTGGTGGCCAGTCAGCACCCTGGCCCGGGCCGGGAGCCACGAGAAACTCTCAGCACAGGCCCTAGGAGAAGCAGCAGGGGGTGGCCGCAGGGAGCTGATGCGCCCTTTCCTCTGTGTGGGAGACTGAGGCCTGGCAGAGCCGGGTCTCATCCAGTGGGGAAGGTTCCTGAGGCCGTAGCAAGTACGCGTGTTTGCTTTTTCCCTTCCTTTCTCTTCCTTGGGGCCCTCTGACCTATAGCTGGGTCAGGCTGGTGGCAGTCCCCTTTGCCACAGGAGGAAACCAAGGCTGGGAGGGGAGGCTGGACACACGGGGGGGGACCCCGGGGCAGGGGGGGGGGGGGGGTGGCTTACAGCAACCCTCGGAGCAGGTGCCGTGTTGGGCAGGGGAGACTGAGGCCCAGGGGGAAGCAGAGAGCAGCCCAAGGTCACCTAGCTGGGCCTGGGTCTGACCCTCATGGTCCTGCCTCCTGACTCACAAGACGAGTCTCCTCTCAGCTGAGGGGCACCCACCCACTTCTCTTCCTGGGGACCTGGGGGCTGAGAGCCGGCATTTGTAGGCCAAATGGAGACTTCCTGGGGCTTATGAAACCCTGTGTCCAAAGAGGACAGCGAGGCTCAGAGAGGGCCAGCCAGGTGCCCAAGGTCACACAGCATGAGCCCCTTGTCCTCTCGCCTCCCCAGCCTTCTGTGGCAGGCACTTTTATGGCTCGCTAAGGCCTTTCCTGCCCTCTCTGAGCCACGGTCCCGCACCTTGGCACCTTGGCCCCTGGAGATGGGCAGGGCTCTGGGTTTTATGACCCATTATACCCAAGATGACTGAGGTCACCTCGCTAAAGCTGAGACTCAGGGCCAGCCCCTCTGCAGCAGAGCTGGCCCGAGGTCTGCCGGGGTTTCGAATGACCCACTAGCTGCTGTGTGACCTTGGACAAGCCCCTTGGCCTTTTGGAGCCTGGGTGTCCCCCGCTGTAAATTGGGGTTACAGGGTTCTCTCTGGGTGGTGCCCGTGGGTCTACCTGTGTCCTCTTTCCTGCCCTCCCTCATGGAGGGAGCACCTAGGTCAACTCAGGGCGCAACGGGGATTCTGGTGGAGTGTGTCGCCAGCCCGGCCACTTGAGACATGCAGAACCCCCTCACCTGTCACCTTGTGCTCCAGGCACCTGATGGACCATAAACCTCCCTGCAACAGCCCTGGGCAGTGGGGACCAGAGGAACAGGCTTGGGTGGGGGCCAGTGTGGTCCAGTCCCAGCCCAGCCCTCACCTCCACCTGAGGTCTCCTTGGGGAGGTCACCGCCCCTCTGCCAGCCTCAGTCTCGCCATCAGCCCAAACCTGTGGTCCTGAGGGTTTAGTCCCTGATTCCCCGGGAGACTTGGCTGAGCGACTGTCGTGCGGTGTCAGGGCCTGGGAGAGTGCTGCATCCCTGGTGACCAGGGGTTAGGGCCCCCCTGTCCTGAGTTCACAGATGTCAGCAGGACTCCAGTCCTGCCCCAGGCTCCCTCTGTGACCTCAGGCAAACCTCTCCCTTTTCTGAGGCAGAGGCAGCTCTGAGGGGGCGTGAGAATAAGCTGTCCTCGGCCCCAAGGCCTCCAGGGTAGGGGGTTCAGTCCCTTGCTGGTACCTGGGGGCCGTGTGGAGGAGGGGGGAGGAGCCTGGGAAGGACCAGTCGGGCAGTACAGAGCCAGGGGGCTTGTGTTCAAAGTGAGCTCTGCTGTGTGACCCTGGGCGAGTCACTTCCCCTCTCTGAGCCTCAGTTTCCTGACCCATAAAGTGAGGCAGTGATTACAGACCTGTAAGGACCCCTGTCGAGATCAGGGTCAGGCCTGTTGAGGAGCAGCGCCTGCCCTCGGGGCCCAAGTCCTGAGTGGAGCCCCAAAGCGCGGAAGGGGCCCTGCTGAGAATCTGGCGCTTGTGAAGAGCCTGGCCAAAGGACTGGCCCCTCCATCTGTCCCCCCAGCAGGCTGTGAGCGGCCACTCGGTGGAAGTGTCCCCACCCACGCCTTTCTGGTTTAACTGGAAAACAAGGCCCCGTCCCACCTCCCATCAGGATGTGTTTGATGGGAGGGAGCTGGCGGGTTTGTGGGCACAGGACACAAGGCCCCAACGGGCCAGGCTCCCCCTCGTCTGGGCCCTCCAGGCTTAGCGATCCACCTGCCCGGGCTGGGGGCGGGGGTGGGAGGTGCAGGTACCTCCTGGTAACAAGCAGGCCTCGGGGGAGGGAGGGAGAGGTCTGGACGAAAGAGAGGACAGCTTCGAGAGGCCAGCCAGGCCCCTTCTGGGCATTTTGTCCAAGCAGGTACAGCCTGAGCAAGGGTGGGCTAGACCGTGCTGGGAATCTGTGAAGCCTGGCCTTGCTTACCCCCAGGTGATGGGAAGCTCATTCCTTCTAACTCCCCACGAGTGGCTCTGGCTTCCCGGGGCTTCCTGTTGGAAGCCGGTGACTGGTGTCAGGGCTGTTAACTTCCTGAGCCGCGACAGCCCTCGAGAGCGTGGGAATAGGGTGAGCCTCAGCCCCACCCATGAGTTGGGGGTCAGATGGGATCCCCGTGACCTCCTCGAAGCACCCCCCGCCCCCCAACTTCCCACCGGCCTGCAGCCTTCCTGCCTCTGGCCCTTTAAGGCCTGGGCAGGAAGCCCCTCCCCATTTAGGGCAATAAATGGACACATAAAATGGCCGAGGGCCTGTTTGCTGGTGTCTGGCCTGGCTGGAGGCCTGTGAGGACAGGCGGGCTGGCAGCCCGGCAGCCACCCCGGGCCGTTGGTGCCCCCCACTCCCTAATCGGGACGCTGCATTCCTGTCCCATTAAACCCCAGGCCGGGGACCGGGCCAGGCAGGGATTGGCACCAGGTCAGGGCGGGGTTACCCGTTGGGACCAACCTTGCAACACAGGCCGCTGGCCTGGGAGTGGGCGGGGGCGGCTGGGCGTGGGCCTGGCAACCGCACCTGGGCACCAGACTTGCTGTGTGACCTTGGGCCGGCCACCTACCCTCTCTGGGTCTGGTTTTCCCCTCCAGGTGAGGGCTCCTCGCCCCTGGCTTCCTCCTGGGGCCTCACCACATACTTCCTTGGCACGCAGTAGGTGGGGAGGGAGCTGAATTCTGGAGTCACATTTGGAGGTTAAGTTCAGAGTCCCCCCCCCCCCCCCGGGCCCGCAAGGAGGCCGGGGGGGGGGGGTCAGTAAGCAGCCTCACTGGGCCTTTGGGGACGCATGCCGGCACACAGTAGGTCCTCAGGCAGAGTTTGCTGAATAGCTGGGGCCGGGACCCTGGGCCTCAAGCAGCCCCAGTCCCCTTGGCACTTGTCATGACCTCCGAGGAAACTGAGGCACAGAGAGGCCCTGCCTCTTGCCCGGTGTCCTACAGCCTGGAAGTGGAGGACCTGGGATTTGGGCCCGGACTGCTGTGCACGGCACATAGTAGGTGTCAGAGGTCCCTTCTTTGGTCTCCTGTTCTACTCTGTGTTGGGCCGGGGCGTGGGGGATAGACAGGCCTCAACTGCTCATTAAGCAACCCCCCTCGCCCCCTCTTCCAGGAAGACAGCAGGTGGCAGTTACCTGGCCACCCCCTCTCCTTCCCGAGGAGTCTGGGGAGGGGGGAGAAGGAGGAGGCCCGCCCCAACCCTCACCTTGCCCCTGACCTTGGGAAGCACGGTAAATAGGGCCTCCTCCCCCTGTCCCTCTCCGGGGCGCCCACCTCCCGGCCTTTGCCTGTCCTGTTCTCCGCGCTCAGGATGCCCTTGCCACACCTGCTGCTCCTGGGGCCAGGCGGGGGCACTCCTGACCTGGCGCTGGGTCCCCGGCCTGGCCGCTGGTCTGCTGTGTGCCCTTGCCCAGGCCTCCTCACCTCTCTGAGCCTCTCCTCGTTCTGTAAAGCCCTGGGCTTACAGCGAGAAGGATGAAACGAGGTGCCAGTTAGCCCCCAATCGTCCAGGGCACACGGGAGGCCGCGGGGAGGGCTCTCGACAGGCCCGGGTTCTGCCGCCTTGGAAACCGTGCAGCAAATAAATGACCCTAGGTTAGCTCAGAGGTGGGACCGGGGGAGCGCGCCAGCCGGGTGGGCGGGGCTGGGTGTGGGCTCACTCCGCGCATAGCTCTGTGGTCTTTGGTTCATCCGGTTTGCTGCGCCCCTACTGTGCGCCGGCGGCGGGGGTGGGGGGAGGGGGGGGAGCCTGCTGAGGCCTGCCCCTCGGCCGCCGCCTAGTCAGCACCGAGCGCCCCGGAAATCCCATGGGGGCGGGGGCGGGGCTCTGATGAAAGATGGGCTGGGTGGGTGTGGGCCGGATCTGTGAGGACCCTGGCCCTGGAGGGTGGGGACCTGGCCGGCGTGGGGGTGGGGCTTCCTGCAGGAGAGAAGTTTCATTGGGTCGTCCTGACCGGGGCAGCCACCTGGCGTGGGGGCACCTACTGGGTGTCAGGTGCCGGCTGGGCCTCTTAGGGTGCAGGAGGCCACACGGCTGTCCTGGCGAGAAGATGCCGTGGCGCACAGTGGGTGTTCAGCAAACAGGTGCCTTTTAACCGCCGGGTCGCCCGCCTGACCCTCGCAGGGTTTTCTGCCTCTGCCTTAGAGGGAGGGGCCCCAAGGGGTGGGGGCAGTGGCCTGGGGTGTGGCACGCAGGTGGCGGGAGGGTGTGGGCCAGGTTGTCTGCAGACCCAGTTTAGTTTCCAGGCTGAGGGATGAGGCAAGGGCTTGCTGGTGGGGGGGGGGGGCTCTCTTAGGATTACGTGGGGGAAACAGAGGCCCTGGCTGGAGGGGACAGAGACGTGGCCTTTGGACCTACGGGCCGTGCCACGCTGCAGGCTCGCCTGGCTGGTGGAGACCCAGACCCAGGGCCCCGGGCCGGCTGCAAATCGGAGCCCGAGCATCTTCATACTTCGGGCCGGGCTGCGCCAGCCCCCTTGCCCGGCAGGCGCGGTGCCCGTGGGAAGGCAGGGGTGGGGCAGCCTGGGGGGCGGGGGTGGGGGTGGGGGAGGTGCTGGTGAACCCTCTGAACCATTGCAGGTCTGGACCTTGAGGCACCTGGAGGGGAGGATGGCAAGCGGGGCCAGGGTGGCCATCTTGAGGCCTCGGTGGCCCGGATCAGAAGGGGGTGAGGAGGGCCGAGGCCAGTCTGATCCGGAGCCCATCTGCCCACTTGCTCCCTGGGGCCTGGGGCCAGACGGCAGATGGTGGCAGGGGGCGGGAGCCGCCACAGGGGCTCCTCCGAGGCTTCCGTGGCTGGGCCTCAGATGGGGTCGGGCGTCCCCCCCATCTCCTGCTCCCAACAGCCACATCTGAGCCTCCCCCCCCCCCCACCCCGGCCCCACCACAGGCTGGCGGAACAGAGGGGGGAGCCGAGCAGCTGGTGTGGTCAGCGGGAAAGAGGGCGGGCCGCAGAGAGAGGCGTCCTGGGAAGTGTAGTGCCGGCCCGAGTGGCCACACAAAGGCTTCTGTGTGAGCCCCAGGGCCAGGGCCCTGCTCCCAGGGCGGCCCCGGGTCGGGACAGTCCCGGCCTGGCCTTGGGTCGGGCCAGACCAACCCCGGGGTCCCTTGCCAGGCTGGTCCACTGGAGGCGGGAGGGATGTGGGTTGGAGCTGGGTTGGGCTGCTCGTGCTCTGCCCGGGGTGGGGGGGGGGGGGGCTGGGGGTCCCGAGGCCCTTAGGCCAAGGAAGGCGCTGCCCCCCTCCCGGGAGACGTCTGGGGGCTCAGTCCTGAGAGCTGGGCAACCAGAGGAACGTGGGTTGTGTTGGGTGGCTTGGGGCAGCTGGGGGCTCCCCAGAGAGGGTGGAGGGGTGGGGACAGGAGCCAGAGGGTTGCACAAGCGCCCGAGTGGGTGGATGAGTCACAGCCCAGGGGAAGGCGGAAAAAGGGAGTGGGGGAGAGGGGCAGGACAGACGGAGTGTCCCCCACCACTACCGCCAGCTTTTCCAAAGGCCTCTCTGTCCATTCGACAGATGGGGAGACTGAGGCCCTGGGCCGAACAGGGTGGCCAAGAGTTGGGGAGGAGCCGGGTGGGCATGAGGTGGACAGAAAGCCCCTACTTCTCTTCTGGGGGTTCAGCCTGGGTGGGCAGGGAACCCAGTCGTCCCTCAGGCAGTCGTCCCCCCCACCCCGTGACTCTCTGCTGTGCTTGGGCCAAGCTGAGTTGCATCGTCCTGGGGGCTCCGTGCTGGGGGCTCCGCCAGGCGCGGGAAGTGGCTTGTCGTGTGGCCACTGGCTCCGCCCCTCCAGGGCACGCCCACAGCCTGGTCCCTGGGTCTTGGCCTTACCCTTTCCTCCTGACTCGGAGCCTCACTGGGAGGTCAGAGAGGCCCAGGGGCCAGGCAGGGACTGACGACCGGGTTGTCCCCCGGGTCACCCATCCTAGGTTTGAGTCAGGCTGAGGGGCCGTGGGCGTGGTTCTCCTCCTGGAGCCCTGTTTTGTCACCTCCACAGGGCAGACGGTGCTGCCTGCAGGGACTGCCGGGGGCTCGGGCATATGACAGCGCACAGTGGGTGCCTTGCATCACCGCCTCCTAGAGAGGGTGCGGGCAGAAGCCAGCACTCAGATTCATTAGGAAGCAAGGCATTTATCGAGCGCCTACTGTGTGCTCCCGTACCGCCTCAAATCATCCCTCGGCCGGGCACTCTAGGGGGCCCTCTGGTGGAAGGGGGGGGGGGTGTCAGGATCTGTCGCTCGAGCCCCCGGTGTGGGTTTTGCCCGTTGATAAGGCAGCACTGTACGTCCGCCTGCCCTGGTGCACAGCTGGGAAACTGAGGCTGGGGGGGGGGAGGGGGCGCCGCCTTCCGGGGGTCCCCAGCCCCGGCCGGTGCGCCCACCACCCCGCACCCTCACGATCACTACTCCCTCCCTCCCTCGCCCCCCCCCCCACCTGGCGCTGCAGGTCTCGGCGCGGAAGATGGCCGGCGGTGTGGACGGCCCCATCGGGATCCCGTTCCCTGACCACAGCAGCGACATCCTGAGCGGACTCAACGAGCAGCGGACGCAGGGCCTGCTGTGCGACGTGGTGATCCTGGTGGAGGGCCGGGAGTTCCCCACGCACCGCTCGGTGCTGGCGGCCTGCAGCCAGTACTTCAAGAAGCTGTTCACGTCGGGCGCCGTGGTGGACCAGCAGAACGTGTATGAGATCGACTTCGTCAGCGCCGAGGCCCTCACGGCCCTCATGGACTTCGCCTACACGGCCACGCTCACCGTCAGCACGGCCAACGTGGGCGACATCCTCAGCGCCGCACGCCTGCTGGAGATCCCCGCCGTGAGCCACGTCTGCGCCGACCTCCTCGACCGGCAGATCCTGGCGGCCGACGCGGGCGCCGACGCCGGGCAGCTGGACCTCGTGGATCAGACCGACCAGCGGAACCTCCTCCGGGCCAAGGAGTACCTCGAGTTCTTCCAGAGCAACCCCATGAACAGCCTGCCCCCCACCGCCGCCTTCCCCTGGTCTGCTTTCGGCACGTCCGACGAGGACTTGGACGCCACCAAGGAGGCCGTGGCCGCGGCCGTGGCCGCCGTGGCCGCCGGCGACTGCAATGGCTTGGACTTCTACGGGCCGGGGCCGCCGGCCGAGCGGCCCTCGGCCGGGGACGCGGACGAGGGCGACAGCAACCCGGGCCTGTGGCCGGAGCGGGACGAGGACGCCCCTGCCGGGGGCCTCTTCCCGCCGCCCGTGGCCCCGCCGGCCACCGCCACGCAGAACGGCCACTACGGCCGGGGTGGGGAGGAGGAAGCGGCCTCGCTGTCGGAGGCGGCCCCCGAGCCGGGCGACTCTCCGGGCTTCCTGTCGGGCGCGGCCGAGGACGGGGACGGGGACGGGCCCGACGCGGATGGGCTGGCGGCCAGCACGCTGCTGCAGCAGATGATGTCATCGGTGGGCCGGGCGGGGGCGGCGGCGGCGGCGGCGGGGGACAGCGACGACGAGTCGCGGGCGGACGACAAGGGCGTCGTGGACTACTACCTGAAGTACTTCAGCGGCGCCCACGACGGGGATGTTTACCCGGCCTGGTCGCAGAAGGTGGAAAAGAAGATCCGGGCCAAGGCCTTCCAGAAGTGCCCCATCTGCGAGAAGGTCATCCAGGGCGCCGGCAAGCTGCCGCGGCACATCCGGACCCACACCGGAGAGAAGCCCTATGAGTGCAACATCTGCAAAGTCCGATTCACCAGGTGAGCCGGTGCGCCGCGGGGGCGGGGGTGGGGGGGCGGGGGACGGGGTGCAGCGGGCACGCCGGGACCCCCGCTCCCCCGCAGCACCGCTGTCCCCTCCAGGGATGGTGCTTTCTCTGTCCCGGGCGGGGGAGGGCTCGGGCACTCCCCAGGCTGAGCCCATAGGCCTCGGGGCCGGACCACGGGAGGCTCAGGCTCGAGGGAAGGCCCGGGCGTCGGGGGTGGGGGGCGTTCTTCTCCTCCGGACTGGAGGCCCTACGTTTGCCGTAGGGCAGGGGGAGCCGGGCTGCCTCCCTGAGTCTCCCAGGAGCCCCGGGGGCCTCGCTCTACTCGGCCAGCATTTACGGAGCACCTGCTGGGTGCCAGGCCCTGTCCTAGGCCCCGGGGGACCCAGGAGTGGAGAGGCACGCCAGATCCCTGTGCGGGCCATGGGGCGCGTGTGAGCTAAAACCACCGAGTTGAGAACGCAGGTTGGGAGCAGAGAACCAGGGAGGGGGCGGCGGCTGTTTTAGAGAGCTGAGTCCCCGAGGAGGGACGCGCCACTGCAAAGGCCCTGAGGCCAGTTCAGCTTGGGGGTCGCGGCAGCAGCAGGAGGGAAATGGACATGGGAGCCACGGGGTTTGGTCCCTAGGCAGGAGGAGTTGGAGGCCAGGCTAGGGGAATTTGTGATTGGGTCTTAAGAGTCCAGAGCTGGCCGGCTGGGCCCTGCGGGCCAGCCGGCGGCAGGGGGGGAGGCGGGGGCGCGGGGGGGGGGGGGGGGGGCGGGCGTGCAGGGGCCTGGCCAGGCTGGGTGACTCAGCATCACCCCCTACCCCCACCCGCCCTGGGGTTCCCCCAGCCACGCCCACCCAGGCTGAAGAAAGAGGCCATTGTCCCAGCTTCCCGGCCCTGCCCCATGGGGACAGGATCTAGGGGCTGACCCCCCGGCCCCTTCCCCACCAGGCCAGGAGAAGAGGGTGTGGCCCAGACTGCAGGGCTCGGGACCCTAAGCAAGGAGTAAAGGGTGCCAGCTGGGAGGTAGGAACCTAGTTGGGGGCCTGCCCCCCCCATTTGGTGAGATTGGGGCGCTGTTAGTCTTGGGGCTGCCTCTTCCTCCAGACAGGGGTCGTAGCGTGGCTGTGGGCCGTGCCCTCAGGGTCTCTGGGCCCAGGAGGGGCAGCTTTGTAGAGGCCCAGTAAGCCAGGATCTGGAGAGGTGAGCAGGGTGAGAAGGGGCCTGGGGCTCCCCTGACACTCCCCCCCCCCCCCCGCCCCGGTCCCACACCCCTAATGACAGGCCTCAGGTGGCTTCATTCTGAACTGGGGTTCTCCTGGCTACCCCACCCTGACTCAGGCTGATCCTGTTTACCAGGCGGGGAAACTGAGGCAGGGAGCGCCACACCAGGCCGGGCCTCTACCCCCGCGTGCCCACCTGGCTCCTCTTTGCCCCCAACCCAGGGCCCCAGCCCCCACGCCTTCCTCCAGGCCAGGGAGCCCAGGGGCCCCTGTGAGTCACACTAGAGAGTTGAGTAAGCGGGGCCTGTGGCAGCCGGGGCTATAATTACCCGGACCAGGGCTCGGGGTGACGAAACAGGCTGCTTCCACCCCCACCCCCCCACCGGGCAGCCCCTGGCCCGCTGTGCAGCCTGGGACAGGTCGCTTTGCCTCTCTGAGCCTTAACTGGAGGAGTCTCTCTGCTCCTCAGTCGGAGTCCCTGCTGTCCCCTCTGGACCTGGCCCGCGCTGGGACCTGGACGGGACAAGCGGGAGACCGTGTTCGTAGACTCTGAGGAGGTGGAGGGAAGGGAGCTCCCTCGGGGCTAAGAGACCCGGGTGGTCCAGGGAACGAGGAGTTCACTGTGTCCTGAGTTCTGTTGACTCACGTGGGATTATAAGGCTGGAGAAGACGCAGGGGTCTGGTTGCAAAGGGCCAGGCCTTGAACCTCAGGGCAATAGGGAGGCTTGAAAGGGTTAGAGCTCTGTGGGTGGTGCCAGAGGTAGGGACCTGGGGCTAGAAGAGCCTGGGGAGAACAAGTCTCTGAGGAGTGGGAAAGGCTTCCTGGAGGAGGAGGGACATTTGAGATGGGGCTTTGACGGATGCATAGGAGTTTGTCGGTCCCGGCACTGAGCATTGTGGTAGGTGTGAAAAGTGAGAGTCCCAGGATGGCTGAGCCGTAGGGTGCAAGAGGCTGCAGCAAGGAACGGGTCAGATGCTGGCCAGGGTTCCGGAGACCCAGGTCTCTGCCCCTGCCCTGTGGATTCCAGGAGGAATCCTCTCCCACGGCTAGAGGCCAACCCAGCGATCACGTGAGTCACCTCTGTGATTTGACATCTTCCGGTAGGCGCATTTTTTAAAAAGTGAAAGGAACAGGTGAAAGGAACTCGAGTCGTGTTTGACGTCCATTTTTCTTCCGTTCAACGTGTAATCAGCGTACAGAGCTCTAAGCGAGCCAGTTTGCAGGACACGTTACGCGAACGAAGCCTTCAAGATCTGGGGCGCCTTTTGGACTTGGTGGCCCATCTCAGCTTGAACAGGCCTCGTCTCGAGGGTTCGGGCCGCGTGTGAGAGCCGTGGCTGCTGTGTGAGACAGAGCAGCACCCGGACTGTCGTTGCTTTAGGGCCGATCCGTTGGCCAGCTTGGCTGGCTCCGCACCGTTCCCTGTGGGGCGAGATGGGCCGGCAGGGGCCCCGGAATCACCCGGGCCCCGCTGTCTTGCGGCTCGCAGTCCAGGCAGGCAGACAGATGAGGAACAAGGAAACTGGCACACAAACGAGAGTGAGAGGTGGTGGCCTGAGGGACGCGGGGTGGGTTGGGTGGAGTGCGAGGTGGGGAGGGGCCTGTCTGAGGAAGTGACGTCTGAGCTGGAAGTCAGATATGAAGGTCCGGTTAAAAAGTGCTCCAGGCAGCAGGAACAGCATGTGCAAAGGTCCTGAAGTAGGCTTGTGCTCAGCCTGTTGTAGTGACAGCCAGGAATCCAGCGCGGCCAGAGCAGAGAAAGACAGAGGTGCTGGGGGAGTTGACGGAGACTGGGGGCTGTGGGGTGGAGACCCTCTGTCCCAGAATGCAGGACTTTCGGTCTTAGAGACCAGGACAGCTGGCCACCCTCTCTGTTACCAAACACCCTGGCTTGTTGCCTCATGCCCTGTAGTATTTTCCAGCACCGGAAACAGGGTCTGGTATTCAGCAGGCACTCAGTAAATGCCTAGTGTTGTGAATGAATGCAGGTGCCACAGGCAGAACCCCCAGAGGGAAGCCCCATTATTTCCCTCCTTCTATGGATAAGAGAAAAGGGGTTCGGAGAGGTTCTGCCATTTGAGCGGTGGCTGGGGCGGGGGGGTGGGGGGAGTGCAAGGTGTTTTCCAGCCCCTGTGGGTGTCGCTTCCCCAGCGCAGAGAGCCCACGTCTCGGGCCCACGGCCCTGGGTGCCCCGGTATTCCCGGGC